GGCAAAAACATGACGATCGAGAGAGATTTTGACTGTTTGTTTCATATTGAGTCTATAAACTTATGTAGCAGGACTGTCGGTTAGAGTTACTGAACCTCAGTACCCATTGGTCTGTTCATGGGTGTTTTTTAGACCGCCCTGGTAGTTCCAATCCTTCCTTTTCTTTTTTTTTTTTCTATTTAACCATGTACAACCATGCTATGGAACGTTTAGTGGTACTATACTGGACAGTGTTTCACAGCTAGAGTGTTTGAAAGAGGATGCATTATATTTACCAACTTAAAGACTTCCTGCATCAATGGAGTGCGGAACGCGTGCGTACGCGGGTCATCTGAGGTCATCATTTTGATCAGCTTAAGGAACTCTGGTGATTCGAAGTCTTGCAGTTCGTACATTGAGTGGTATCCGTTACTGATACCGCTCTGCTTGTCTTGCCACTGGCGCCACAGAGGAGCTTCATACCTGTCCTCCCACGTCACGATCTTATCCTTGAGCATCGATCGCCAATCCAGTGTGCGTGACAACAGAGGATACTTGGTCAGGTCCATCGTGTTTATTCCAGGTACACAACTTTCACCGAAGTGTTGTCTGAGAATATGACAATGAAATAAAAGCAACGGGTTATGAAATCCACACGGCATTGTTTCTCTGTAAATGAGTTAATTGATTTGTCAGCCTAGCGCAGCACGCGACAGCTACAAGACAACAGCATCCGAAACCTAAAGATCTAAGTAGCACCATTAGCGTCACTACAATTATCTGCTGTGATGTGTCGTCACGTAAACCTTCGCATTTGCCTTCGAGAAACGTTGCGTGACGATCCAAATAACAGCTGGAACTCTTTTAGCCCTGACAAAAGCAGCGAAACTCTGAATTTAGCTCTGAGACGTCGTGTTGGTATTCCCACACAATCTTAACGGCTGACATTTTAAGTATTTTCACCACCTGTCTAGTTCAAAATGTTCTGATATCGTACGGAGAAATTACATTATCATCACAGTGTAATTCCTCGATTTTTAAGGAAAATGTCACTGGGTTACAAAGATATCAAAAAATTTCTACTAACCCGATCGATTTCAGAGGTGAGCTAGATCGTTGTATTGTGCCATTAGCCAAGAGCCATCCCATTGGGTGAAGGAAACCGCTGATCTTGTCAACGCCTGCGTTACACATTTTCCAGCCGCGCATGTCTTCTGATAGATCAGTTTTGCCCTTAAGCATGACGCCGATGGTGATGCTTTTTGTCCAAGGATCCTTCCTGTTTAAATGTAAGGGAAGTACTTTAATATGCGAAGAAATGAGATCAATTTTCAAATTTTACAAAACGCTTTTCGGGAACTCAGTAATGAGAAGCGGGTGAGCTATGAAAAACGCGGAATATGTCACGTGAGCCAAATGGCGAAAAAGAAAGAAAAGATTATTGCTCTCGTTTCTAAACAATTCCTCTATTGAATGAAAGATGCACGTACTTTTGTTCCTCATTTTTTTTCCCCTTTTGCGATGATTCAGCCATATTATTCTGTCTTGGTTTTCCTAACACAGCAACCGGAGCTAGGCTAGAAAGTTTTGTTTGAAAACGAAACTCTTACCCCTTGTAATTCTCTGCCATGAAAGGAATCAAATTATAATCCAGTCCTGCCAAAAACATGTCCGTGGAGTTGAGGTCGACAATATCGGCTAAGCCTTTAGCTACCATTTCCGTGCACTCTTTCTTGCCACTGGCCTCAACACAACCCCAGGAGATCTCTTTAGCGTCTGTTAAAAGAAATCGTTACTTTATCAAAAGGAAAGTCAGTCAGAAATAGCTCATTAAAATTGGTTAATCCTGCAAGAATTATTTATGGGGTAGTATTGATGTGGTAAGTATGCAATTATGTCTAACACTTTTTCGAAAGGTAATGCTATCATAATTTTTTTCTCAATCGGAAAGCTCGAGAGCGAAATAAAAATATCTCGGTAAATTCAACAACTCTAAGTAACTTTTCAAGTCAGCTACAGCCAAGAGCATAGGGTTTATTCGTTAGCGTGAGTATCACGAGCGTGTCCGGGGGTACTTCACGTGATCTGGGAGACAACGATTGCCTTACACGTGAAACAAAGTGACAGGTTATGCGAGACGCGTTACTGCCTAAACTCTTTTAGTTTCCGAATGGACCGAACAAACGGCTTCTATGGGGGTGATTGTTGACTTGAGCGTTATCGTGTGAAGGAAGTGGTTTTGCTTGAAAACCTGATCATGAAACTCTTTCTATTCAGCTACGACCTATCTGGCTGTTAATAGAAACTTTTCTCGTGTTCGTGATTGGAAATTCCATGAAAACGCTAAAGAGGCTCCTTTTTATTTCCTCAAAACAATATCCAACTAAACAAGGTACTGAAGAATGACTGACTCACAGGTGACTGTCTGGAATTTGTTGATCATATCCTGGCATTTCTTCATTTCTTCGTCTCCAACGACGCACATGAAAGCGCGTGGCTTGGATTTAAGTTCTGCACAGGTCTTCCAAATACCAACCGTGTCTACACCAAGGAATTCCTTGTATGTTCTTTTATCCTACAGATATAGAACTAAGTCTAAGAAATGACTTCAAATCTAAGGCGAGCTCAGACATACATTTGTTCAAAGGCAAAGACTGACTGGAGCAGTTCATTCGTTCCCACATAAGACTTTCATCCCTACTGCTATATCCTTAACAGTTAGACATCTTGTTCGCATAACTTTGCTTTCATTGAGATAATATATTTACCTTGAAAACCGGCCCTTTGTAAAGGAAGTGAAAGACAATTCAACAAAATTACCTCAGGGATGAGCTCCAGGGAACTGCTACAATCCTTGAAGATAAGGTCCTTGTTCTTGTCCTTGTAATCCTCACCATTTTCATCATAGCCTTCCATTTTGTCACAGTACAGAGAAGAGTCAAACAAGCCGAATGCTTTATCTGTGTCTGGTGATGAGAAGAGTGTCGAGGCTTGCGTGAGAGCACTGGTACAACCCTGAATCCATTCCTTTGGCTTGTCCTTGGACACCATCAAGACCTGGCGAGAAAAGAGTGTGCAATCATGGATTCACTTTAACACTGAAAACAAGACTCGTAATAATTCCATATTCAATTATTTGCATGGAATATTTGAAGAGTATTTTTCTCAGGCCAGTAGTTGGGGTGGGGGAGCAATGAGTTGGGGAACACTGGTTATCGCCAAGCGGAGCTCAGAGAAGAAACCCATATCATTTTGAAATGACCTTCCTTCATCTATAGGTAAAACGTCAACTAGAAAACTACTGAAAAGAGCACTTTACCAATATTGTTTTGCTCACTACTAATTTGGGCAACATTGGCTATTGCAAGATATTACTACTTTTTATTAGACTCTTTTCTATCATAAAATAAACGTAATTTAACTCAGGGGTATGTAATTAGTTTAACTAAATCTGGCCCTTCTCCATTTCTTCTTGTAACAAACTGTTGTAATTCAGCGTGAAGAGGAGGAATTGTATAAATAAATAAATAAATAAATAAATAGATAGATATCACATAGCGATTATTACATAACTAAAACGTCATTACGTGCATAACAAGAGGCATATAACATAACAACACGACGGACGCCTACAGGAGTTGCGGCGAGTGCAGAAGCCGTGTGTTACGGAACGGAAAATGTCTGCGCTTACGAACGAGACTAGTATGTTTATGTACCTGAGGGCTTTCCTCAGCCAGGTGGCAGCCTTTCTTGATAATATTTGTCCACTCCAGAGGAAGCTTCTTGTTTCTGCACACAATATCAAATTCTTTAGAGAGATCCTCCAAGTTCCTAATGACCTCGTGGGTGTGGACGAATCCTACATCCCCCGCCCCTTCGCGAAGGCACTTCAGCATTCCTGAGTAGCCATAGTAAGGTTCCTTCTTGTCTGACAGCGTCTCACAGAAATCATCATCGTCTTTTCCTGTGCGTTGAAAGAAGTAATAATGTATCTGTCAAGCTTGGCTTTAGAATTATTTTGGAGGAAATACAGGGAAGCGTGACGTTAAGGAGCGCACGTGAGGGATCGCGCAACATGCTGAGGCAAGGACTTATGGCTTGGACCTCGAGCAGGCAGCTGTGAAATTGTTCGAAAACGAAAAGCAAATAGAACAAAATATGCAAAACTGGCTTTCGGATCCAGTCATTAAAAATCCACGGAGATGACAGCTGGGCTTCACTTTTACGAAAACGAATTTTTATACATGACTCGCAGAATTAGTCTACGATTGTCAGAATTTCATATGCGTGCATTTGCTGTTTTGCTGATATAAAAGCTATTGTTTATTATTTATTATTTATTTTTTTTATGTGACCGACATCATCGCTTGTGATCAAGCTTGGATTATTATTTCTTTAAAACCTTGTGATATATATGTGTTCTTCAAGAAGGGAATCATGTGCTCTCTTCGGACAAATAGTTGACTGGTAACGTGAAACGCTAGGTACATTCAGTTACCTGAAACTTGTTGTTTGAACGCAAATATTGCATTTAAGATCAACCGGAGAGCCCATTATTTGAAAATTTGTCAGGCACGTCAAGTAATTAATGTTATTTAAGATAGCACAAGGTGTAATTAAAGGTCAATTGACAGGCAAATGACCGATTGGCGTTTTTTTAAAATTCTTTTCAGGAAAATTTCAACTGCAGTGAAGAATATCAATTCAAACTCAAGTCGACAGAAAAGCAAATAATTCATTCCGTCCAATGAAAAAAAACCGTCACCTAAAAAGACAAGAGACATGCAAGTTTGCACAACTGCAATGTTCCAACACATTCGCTTGAAAGTCCAGGGTTTTTACATCGTCTGGAAAGGCCGGCAAATTTTGTTAAGAGGAAGACAGCACCTTATTTGTAAATGTGTAAACGCAAAATGATTTTGAGCAATGACTTCTATACTCACTAACGTTGCTAACTATTTAACATTCTAAATCAATGGAATAAAAAGAATGTTAAAGACTACCGGGTTGAAAATTTGAGGAAACGAAAAACGACGCAATTTAATCCGACGCACGTGCCCCAGTGCATGAAAACAAGATGAAGTAAAAACACAAAAAATACAGCCAGACAGTGGATGCATTGTTCTCCTCACTCCAACTAAACAGTGAATTATTTTCCTTTGAATGCAATCAAGATATGAAAGGTTATCTTGTATATAACTCAGGTGTGTTGTGTTGTTTTTAGTGAAAAAAGACAAGATAGCGGAAGAGATAACGACTGAAATTGAAGACTTTGAACGTGCAGGGTAAGTACATTAAAGCTTTTTTCTTTTCCTTGTTGGGACGATTGCCAAGAAATATACCAGCTCACGGACATTGTACCCAGGTAATTAAAATAGCAAATAGAATTTAATACAGCCGAATTGGAACCTTGCAAATTTTTAACATACCAAGTAAAATTGACTTTCTTTTGTTACAATGTTACCTATATACAAGAAATGAACAACTAACAATAAAATGACTTTTACTGACATACCTTTGCATAATTTACAGAGGGATTCAGGGTTGGTCATGTTCGGGTTGTACATGTCATGCTGTACGCCGGGCACACAACTCTCTTTGAAGAACTCCCCCGCGCTCTCATACACGTTCCCTGTGCGTTGCATGATACCCTTCTCGATAAGGGAACAAACGGGGGACTTGAAACTGGCTGTGCTGTCCACGCCGGAGTGGCACGATTTTCGCTCTTTCAGGTCCTGAAAGCTCTCGATACCAGTGGTGGTTTTCTTCACCAGTGCGATAGAGTAGTGCTTGAGGATACCGTCTGGACCTTCATACTGGGCAAACTTCGTGTCGTAGTCTGGGATGTCTTTGTGGTCGTCCTTTTCAAACATGATAGGAATCAGATCGTGTACCTTCCCGGCTATGTAGATTTCTTCACCTTCAGCCGTCATGATGTCTGCGCGTCCAAGTCGAATTTCTTCCATGCAAGATTCTTTGCAAGGCGCCATGGCGCAGCTCCAGTACATCTGTGGGCTCACCATGTACTTGAATTTCATGGCCATCCTCTTGCACTTTTTCATCTCGCATGGGTTTGTAACACACCAGCGAACTTTTGGGATGTCGTCTCCTTCGATTTCTTCTCCGGGCTCTTTCCATGGTTTCTGTTCCCAAGGACGAGCCTTCACTTTCCAGTCTTCAAACGTCCACTTCTTGTCATGTCCTAGTCGCTTCTTTTCCCAACTTCTGGCTATTAGAAAATTAAAGTAACACCGAGATTAATAATGTTCCATTATTCTAGCAAGTCTTGCAGCCGTTTAAGTAAGGCCAAATTGATAAAGCAACCTGCCGGGACCGTCTCTGACTAATTACTAAATCACAGCTTGTAAAATTGCTCTACATTACGTCTAGTTGATATTTAAAGTACCTGGGAGACCATCGACTAAGGCGCAGACGAGGAACAGCAACACCACCAGTCCTTTCATGGTAGAGGGTTTGCTACTGAGAGAGCTGATGTGAAAGCTGGTCGGTAGCCTTTAATTTATAGCTGTGGATTGATCACATGATCAAACCCCATGACTCAGCATCCCAAAATCGGACTTTATAATTCAACACTCTGTCAGCGGATACGACTTAACTTATGAACTGTATTGCAGTTATGTAACTTATTTCTCAGAAAATGGAGCCGCGCGAGTTTCTTATGACACAAATATAATTATTAATGTATGTAAAGAGAACTTGCATTCAGTGATCAATAACTTTGCTCTTGTGAATGGCATGAATATATTTTAAAGATTTTGTTGAGGATTTGAATGCTAATCACCAATGCAAATAAACGTTCCACTCCAGATGGGCGAGACTAGAGGCCGCGTTGACAAAGCTCTCTTAGGTTGAGATTGATCTTAAGAGTATTCGAATACAAAAGCGATTGTTAAAAAACAATACTTATGATCTTCTCAGACTTACTTCGTAAGCCTGGTCTGAGCTGCGCACTTAGGTGCATGAGAGAAGCCAGCCGAAGGCGCGATGAGGGTCGGAAGAGGGGAGCAATTAAACGGCCAAATTATAGGCAGTTCGGCCTTGCATTCTTTCTAAAACAGCAAATGGGTTCCAGCGACCTTGTAGAGAATTCCCCTGGATCCTCCTCTGAGTGTAATGACTGTAAAAATATGTGGATTACCCCTCAAGCTAAGCTGTCGCAAGTGAAAGAAATTAAATTTAAAAATGTATTCCCAACAAACCGTGCATGTGGCACGACTGGTTTGGGCATCGGCGATTTTTGGTATTTTGCGGTAACTACGTTTTGCTATTGTAAAAGACTCGTTTATCTTCCTGTGCGATTTTCAGGAAGTCTTAAACAACATGCAATCGACAAATGAGACACCATGCAGAGAGTAAATCTAAAACACGGTATTCAATGTCAGGCTCTTTTTAATACAATAACACCTTGTGCTAATGTGGCTGATTGCGGCAGCAATGGATCAGCAATGACTACGGTACAACTTGATGCATTACTGATTCCTCGAGCTTTCTTTTCCACACCAGTATTCTACTCTTTCCCCATCTTCAGAATCACTGTCTGGTCTGTCTGTCCCCGTAATCGATAGCTACTATCATCTCTACATATGATGTTTGTATGTACAATTTCGCCAGTGGAGTACATTTTTGCGGATAAAATTTTTGCAGCCGGGAATCGAAATTCTCGACGAGAACTTTTTTGCGGATATAGCGTAGGAAAAAAAGCGCAAAGATTCGGAACCCGCAAAAATTTCGCGCCATACGGGAGCGATATACTAAAAGCAGAGCGATACGCAAATTGAGCTAGAAAGCTACAGCTCAGGAGAAAGCCGGCTTACATTTACGTTCGATCTCCTTAAAATAGTTTGGGGGCAATAAAGTCAATGATTTGAGTAGCTAGGACTTGAAAGAGGGGAAACATCGATCACGCGTTCCCAGCACTGTTTAATAGTTCCAAATATAGCTGATCAAATAAAATAAAATAAAACTCATTGACCTTCAACTTGAAATCCAACTCTAGTCTTTATTTCGGCTCTTTTGTAGTCGTTGTGTTGAAAGTTATGAGAAAAATAGCTTTCTCTTTTAGATGGGATGTTTTATTCAAGGCGTGGTAAATATTAAGTATCAGCAGCTTATCGATTTACTGCGGTATGTAAGTGTTCGGCAGAACTGCAGATTTTAAATTGATGGTCAATCATCGTACCAGATGATTACCCCCTTATAAATTATTTGCTTCGAGACTTTGCCAAAGAAAATAGCCACGAATATTCCCTGATACATTAAGTCAAATCTATTTATTTCTGAAGAGTGCCAAAAACAAACCATAAACTTACGTGATC